GGGGCACGCTTCTTGTCACATGACAGCAAACGTAGACTGAGCGCCGGGCGCAGCGGGATCGCAGCCGGCCAATGAACGCCCGCCGACCTTCAACCTACATGTCCGAGCCGCTCACAATGATACCGGCCAGCTGAGGTACTGACCATGCAGACTACAACCCCCAGCATGCCCACCCTTCATTTAAAACCCATTACTAAGGCAACACTGCAGAACTGCCCTTTACTATGTGTGCCCCCCAGATGTCCGGGGACGCCCCAATGTGCCCCCCAGATGTCCGGGGACGCCCCAATGTGCCCCCCAGATGTCCGGGGACGCCCCAATGTGCCCCCCAGATGTCCGGGGACGCCCCAATGTGCCCCCCAGATGTCCGGGGACGCCCCAATGTGCCCCCCAGATGTCCGGGGACGCCCCAATGTGCCCCCCAGATGTCCGGGGACACCCCCAATGTGCCCCCCAGATGTCCGGGGACACCCCCAATGTGCCCCCCAGATGTCCGGGGACACCCCCAATGTGCCCCCCAGATGTCCGGGGACACCCCCAATGTGCCCCCCAGATGTCCGGGGACGCCCCAATGTGCCCCCCAGATGTCCGGGTACGCCCCAATGTGTCCCCCAGATGTCCGCGTACGTCCCCAATGTGTCCCTCAGTTTCCACATACGTCCCCAATGTGTCCCCCAGAGTCAGCCTATGTTCCCCAATATCAGTGTATGTGTCTCCCCAGATGTCGGTGTATGTCTCTAGTGTCCCTCCGTGCAGTCCTCAGCAACCAATCAGCTCTCTCCTTCTGTAGTCGAATCCTGATGGGTTGCCAGAGGTTACCCCATAGAGGGCGGACTATTCGTATCCGGGTGTTACCGGCACAGGGCGGATTGTGTGTACCGGGCACAGGGCGGACCGTCCGCCCCAGCCGGTTCTGCTGTAAGAAAACCTGTCATAAAAGCGGTCACCACCTCCCCCCTTCTCCCGCTCTCACCCCGACTGGTGGGGCCCCTCTTGCTCCTCCGGGCCCGTGGCATGCCGATCTAGTAAACAGCTGTCAGCGTGTACCGCAATGCCTGCTGGGAGCGACTCCGACTACACCTCCCACAGTGCACCACGCCGCCCCGCCCATCTCACCTCTATCGCGAGAACACGGTGTGTGTGTGTGTTCACGTGACAGGGGCGCCGGTACTGTGCGACACGCAGCTTCGCCCTGCAGGTCACCTGACCTCAGGAACAGCACCAAGAGGACCTGTCAGAACAAGCATGTAGGCAGTGAAGGTAGAACTGATCATTGTGCTCAGTGATGGCGCTACAAATCTCAGGTTCAGTGCCGACTACAATGTCATAAGTGTGTGGTGCCACCTGCTGAGGTCAGAATATGCTTTCCGCTCACAGTCGGTCCAGTGTCGTCTGGACCTGAAATCTCCCCTCCCCCTCCCAGGGCCAACTCAGCAATGTTCACTTTCCTTCATTGCGGCCTGGCGCTGATTATGGGAGGACTCCGGTGACGGTAAACCTCCTGCCAGGCGGCGCCATTACCGCGCGTCACCAGAACATTGCTGAGTGTGGGGGAGGGTGAGATTGCTCTCATTGCTGGAGAGATTTCCCCTCACTTCCTGTTCTGATGACAACACTTTACTAGACAGGTAGTGAGCATGGTGTACATGACATACTCCTGACCCCTGCACACTGTGCTGCACATGACATACTCCTGACCCCTGCACCCTATACACTGTGCTGTACATGACATACTCCTGACCCCTGCACCCTATACACTGTGCTGCACATGACATACTCCTGACCCCTGCACCCTATACACTGTGCTTTACATGACATACTCCTGACCCCTGCACCCTATACACTGTGCTGCACATGACATACTCCTGACCCCTGCACACTGTGCTGTACATGACATACTCCTGACCCCTGCACCCTATACACTGTGCTGTACATGACATACTCCTGACCCCTGTGCTGGTTGGTTGTCGCAGTGAGGTATGGTCGGAGTTCTCCTTTAGGATTAGAGTGTCAGCTCTCCGTCCACACTCGTCTGTCATGTCCCGGGAGGGGCTTCCGGCGCAGTGATGGCGGAGTGTATGGGGGGAGGGGCTTCCAGAGCAGTGATGGCGGAGTGTATGGGGGGAGGGGCTTCCAGAGCAGTGATGGCGGAGTGTATGGGGGGAGGGGCTTCCGGCGCAGTGTATTGTGTGTATGCTGCTCACTATTTATTTAACCCCGCCCCTTTATTCTACAGACAGTATTGAATGTTCTGTAGCCACGCCCACTTTGGCGGCGGCATGCTGAGCACACACCGCATATCGCCACCCCAGGCTCCGCCCCCTCAGGCAGCACAGAATTGAGGCAAGAGGACAAAGTGGGAGGTGCTAAAAAGATAGAAGGTCACGCCCACTTCAGTGTAACTCCGCCCTGAACTCCCCGAGTCTTCCCGGATCTCATCAACATTCCCTCCCACATGATGTTTTAGGGCTCATTTTCACATCATGTGACCGCAGTGGGAGGAGCATAAAAAACATTTGCCCCCCCCAATGTGCCCCGTTCACAGCACCGTGCCGAGTTCGCAGCGCAACCCCCCTCCCCCAACAGCACGGCGCAACGCTCTGCAGTGTGCAGACACGAATGAAATGTAATTTTGTGAAACTTCAATAAAGTTTAAATGTAAACATTGCGATGTGTTATAGCGACGCATGGCCCCGCCCCCTTACACAACGCACACCAGTGAGGGAGAATGTCAGGTCTCAGGAGTGACACCAGAGGGCGCCATTGTCTGCAGACGTGTGTGCGGTGGGATGTTGGGGATTGTAGCGCGTATGGTGAGAGTTCAGGGAACGGTCTTGCAGCCGTTGTCACATAAACAGGAGAATCTTTTATTTCATCATCACAACATACAGACTGCTCATGTCTCACCCACCAAAGAGTGCCGCACATACTCCATGTGTCCCCGGCTCTCTCAGCCTCCTCGGCTGTCTCCCTGTGCCTCCAGCACACACAGCCTCCTGGCTGACCTCTGACCTCTGGGCGGAGTCCTCCTGAATCCTACAGATCTCATCCTTCCCCATTTCTACCATGCCACCCAATACTACAACCCCCATTTCTACCGTGCCACCCAATACTACAACCCCCATTTCTACCGTGCCACCCAATACTACAACCCCCATTTCTACCGTGCCACCCAATACTACAACCCCCATTTCTACCGTGCCACCCAATACTACAACCCCCAGTTCTACCGTGCCACCCAATACTACAATACGTCTCAGACAAGACGGAGCCGGCCAGTGTACGGACAACCTCGGGGGGGGAGCTGCCACCCGATCACTATCGTGAGATAACTCTGATCAGGTTTTGTGGACCAATCAGGTTTCTAAACCTGAATAAAGGGGCCATCTGAGAGGGGAGGAGGCCATTTTGGGAACCACCATCCAGAACCTGTGTAAATCCTCCAGGACGGGTGATAGCCGGACATACAAGTGACAAGTTATGCCGACCAGTTCACACTATAGGGTTCAGTATTTGGTTGGCTCCGCCCTCTAATGGCCCCCCAGTCTTTGTCCGTAGGGTTCAGTATTGGGTTGGCTCCGCCCACTAATGGCCCCCCAGTCTTAGTCCATAGGGTTCAGTATTGGGTTGGCTCTGCCCTCTAATGGCCCCCCAGTCTTAGTCCGTAGGGTTCAGTATTGGGTTGGCTCCGCCCTCTAATGGCCCCCAGTCTTAGTCCTTAGGGTTCAGTATTGGATTGGCTCTGCCCTCTAATGGCCCCCCCAGTCTTAGCCCGTAGGGTTCAGTATTGGGTTGGCTCCGCCCTTTGCCGCTATAACAGCTCCGCCTCTTCTGGGAAGGCGTCCAGAAGGTTTAGGAGTGTGTCTATGGGAATGTTGGACCATTTGTGGGGTCAGGTACTGATGTTGGGGGAGGGGCTCGCAGTCTCCGCCTCTAATTCATCCCAAAGGTGTTCTATGGTGACCCCGCTCTGTCATGTGACGCGGCCGACCACTTCCTGGCTGAGTTGCTGTTGTTCCCGGTTGCTTCCACTTTGTTATAATCCCAGTAACAGGCGACCGCGGCGGAATATTTAGTAGCCGGGAAATGTCACGGAAAACACCTGAATAAAATGATTTGGAGGGGGAGGGGCCAATACTTTTGGCAATATGGGGTATGTTTAAATTCCCGTTAGAATATATTCTTTTATACTGGCAGTTCATGGTGGGCGTGTCCTAGCGGAGCTCCTCCCCTCGAGCAGGAAGAAGTCGGTGATGATACATAATACGGATATTATTATTTATTAATATTCATATTACGATTAGTTGGAATCACCCTCATTGTTCTTAAACCCCCTCATTGTTCCCTCCCCCCGCGCCCCTCCCCCCCCTTCCCCCGACAGGTAGGGACTCCGCCGCACACGCTGCCATCACACATGTTCCTGCTCACAACGTGTCGGCCGCGGATCGGCCTTTTGATGTCGGCGCTCGATGAGTCACGCTCGCTTCTCAGTCCAGACGATCGCCTTTGAACTGCCGCCAGCTCTTTCTTCTGGCAGATGAGGCTTCACACGTTCACCGAGACGCTCCGCGACCCCTAAACGCGTCCGGAGACACATGTGATGCCAACGCGGACTCACGGCGCAGAGCGCGCACACGTGTCCTCGCCATCAGAGGTCCCGAAAGATTGTTTTCATTGTTCAGAAGCATGACGTTAAAGTGGACCTGTCATCACATACATGTGTCATGTGACCCCTCCAGGTATGTATTACCTCTCACAGAGATCACGTGACTCCCCCTGACAATGCCTTCATCTGCTTTTCCCTCCAGAAGGAAGGCACCATCTTTGTTCAGGTATCACCCGGGGTCACCATCTACTTCCTGCACTGATATGCCGGCTCAGAGATGACCCAGTCATGTAAATCCCGGTGCCTGAGCACTTCTTAATGTTGCAGACTGATCACTGGGGGGGAGGGGGGACTGAGGAAATGCTTCCTCTTGCCTGCAGCAGACTGATCACTGGGGGAGGGGGGACTGAGGAAAGCTTCCTCCT